CAAAAACCCAATAGAATCATAAAAGGAAATTATTAGAAATTTTCTAAAAATCTAATGGTATAGAATATATCCTGAATCAGTAACATTTAACCTAGTAATAACTGGGGGTGCCTGTGTGGGACAGGCAGTTAAGCATCTGATTCTTGGTCTTGGCTCAGTTGTGATCTCAGGGTGATGAGACTGAGCCCTATGACAGGCTCCATGCTCAGCGCAGAGTGTGATTGGATTCTCTCTCCCTCCCTCTGCCTCTCCACACCATTCTCTCTCTCTCCCTCTCTCTAAAATAGATAAATACATCTTTAAAAAAGAATTGTATAAATAAAAAAAATAAAATAAAATAGTAACAGCTTACTAGAAAGTAAAGGAATACACAAGGCCTTTATTAAGAGACAATATTGCATATTGATAAAAGCAAAGAGATAGGCTGCTTTTGTGGCTATGAGACAATGAAAGTGACAATCTCTCAGTACCTCAGTATGTGTGTAGGTATGTATTTTTTTTAAAAATTGAGGTATAATTGACCTCAGTTTCTTCATGTATAAAATAAGGATCATAATTGTATATATCTTAAAAGATTATAACGATTGAGTCAATATAGGCCAACACTTATCATGGTGCCTGGCACATACTTAGCATTATACGAATTTTTGCCATTATTATTTTGGAGCTCTTCTATTAGAGCACAATAAAAATGGTAACAATAAATATTTCATCTCCTTTATTGGATAACTACAATGATATGAATTTTCTCCCAATATATCTATAAATTCAAGGCAAACCTAATGACAGTTCAAGTTTATGTTAGGCTTTTAAAGAGACTCAACAAATCTAATCCCAAATGTGCATGTGGCAGAAGTATAAAGAAGGGGGACGTGATCCATTAAATATAAGGACACATTACAAAGCTATAGAATAAGAACAGTGTGATAATCCAAACAGGCCAGACAACGACCAACTTTTTCTGTAAAAGAGCCAAAGAATAAACATTTTAGAGTTTGCGAGGCCATTGGTCTTCTTTGCAACTACTCAACTGTGCTTTGTAGTGCAAAAGCAGCTATATGTAAACAAATGACTGTGGCTGTGTGCCAACAAAATTAATTTATGGGTACTGAAATTTAAGTTTCATGTATTTTCATGTGTGACAAAACCTTCTTCTTTTTACTTTTTTCTACCATTAAAAATTTTAAAAACTGGCTTAGCTCATGGGCCATACAAATATAAATCCATTTGGTTCATCAGGTATAGGTTTCTGATAACCAAGAGTGGACCGCTGATATAGACCATGTATAAATGAGAACTTAAATAGAATTGGTTGGATGTTTTCTGTTTGTTTTTGAGATCGAGTGTCTGCCCTTCTCCACCCCACCCCAAGCTGTAGCAGATTCCTTTACCCTCTAGCTGTTGGTTAGTGATATACAAGGGGATGTAGATGGGAGAGAGCCCACTCCTAGTGCAAGCAGAAAGGGAATATATTGTCGTTAGGAATTTTTAAAACAACAATAACACCTTTTTCATCATTGTATACTGGCAATTCTAAACAATGTCAGTGATAAAACAGTCTTCCCCATTAGTGTTGCTATTATCACCCTTCTTTAGTTGGGTTTGGCTAATCCAAACCTAGGATATTTCGGACATCCTGGCAGGGGACTGGGGGTCAGGGAAAGACTGAAGTTTATAGCAGATTCAGGATGCTATGTAAGCCACCTTGTTATTTGTACATTATGGCTGAACAATGATAGTAACCAATAGTAACAGAGGAATCTGTGGCTGGTAGAGGTGCTGTATGGAACCTCTGGTAACCCTCTGTAACAGAATCACAGCTTTTATCCATAAGGTTTTGAAGATAAGCCATGCCTTTCTTTGTCACGTGTGATTTCCCATCTAGAATGCAGTTCTGCACTTGCTCTGGTTGAAACTGAAAAACCAACCTTAAGACATCAAATGAGCATGTGTCCTGAATTACCCACTATGAACTAGGGGATATTTGATCAACTGAATCCTAAAATTGGATGTGCAGCAGCAGCATTCTCCTCCTAAATGAAAAGGGGATATATTACGACTGGGTATTACCAGGTCCAGAGAGAGCAAACAAAATATGTAAGCAGCCAACTAAGATTTCCATGATACCTGCTCAACTGCTTTACCTCTGTTCCTTCAGCCTAGAGAACGCCCTTTACCAGTATGGTGGAAGGAAAGCTCAGATCTGATTTGTAGATAGATCAGCATTGAATGTCACTACCCGCTAGAAGTGAATGGCTGCTGCATTAAAGCCTGAAAGATATCAGTAAAGGGAAATCCTCCCAGTGGGCAAAATTTGGGGCAAGCCACATATATGGGCAATCCCTATATCCATGTCTGGTTATTTGCAACCAAACAGCCCTGGTTGATACTCTAGAATCCTAACTGCCTTTTGGAATAGCCCTGAGTGTGCAAATAGCCTCAAAATCTGGCTTTAAGTGCCCTACATTCTTGTCTGTTCCATGTAGAATCAGTGACTTGACATCATGCTTAATCCTTCACCCATACAGCCAATAAAAAGAGCACGGTAGATTCTAGCAATAAGGCTTAGAGTGGCCTCAAATGAAATCAGTATCTTATTTATGCTGATTATTTCCTGTATTGGCCTTCTCTTAGTCATTACGTTATGGTCCTTTAAGCATGATATCACTATTGAAGAAGGGTGTGAGTTGTTAGAAAATGTCTATTTTTTCAGCTAGAACCTAGCAGCAGGTAACAGTCACTTGCCACATTGCTGTTTTCATGCCTAGAAAACAATTCATATTTTAGAAACCTAAATCAATGTTTTTATTCCATGGAATTTTCAGTCCTTTCAAGGAAAATTCAGGTGTCACATAATTGCCAGAAAAAAAAAGTTGTTTGTCACATAAACCATTAAGTAAACAGATATAAAACATAATTGATAACTTTGACCTGTCATTAATGTCTGATGATTACCTAATATACTGAATTATCTGAAATTCTTATTAAACACATCCTGGTGTCTATTATCCATATCAGGAATGAGTATCTGAATTAATAGTATTAGCCAGATAAGAAATGATTCCCTCTTCCCAGTAATTAAATAAATCTCTTTCCTATTAGTAGTATTTACAGCTCATTTTTTATACCATCCATCCACGTATGTACCACCTTCATGATCAAACTTGTGTTCAGCAGCAAGAAATATGATATGTTTTGAAATCTGGTTTTCTTTGTTTTCAACCCTCAAAATCTTACCTAAAGTAGTAAGGTAAGATTTACTATAACATTTCCCCTTAAAACTTAATCCACAAAAAGACTCTCAGGCCAATTCAATATGCTCTATTATTTTAAAAATCCCCAACCTCATTAAAAAAAATTTTTTATTTATTCGTTTGACAGAGAGAGAGTGAAAGCACAAGTAGGAAGAACGCAGGCAGAGGGAGAGGGAGAAGCAGGCTCCCCGCAGAGGAGAGGGTCCCCTCAGGGTTGGATCCCAGGACCTATGGCCGATGCTTAACCGACTGAGCCACTCAGGAGCCCTTGCCCCCCGAAACTCATTTTAAGACTAGTATATGGTAAGTCTGGAGAGCAGCATGAGAATAAGGGTCCAGGGCATAAACACCCTTAAAGACTGAGATCTCAAATGAAAGAAAATCCTGTTTCAACCAGACTGTTGTTAATGGCAGACAGAAATCTATAAAATATCTATTTTAATTAAAAACATCAGATTGCTATCAAAGTTTCTAGGTCTTAACCTGTTGCTCTGATGTTCTGACATATTGCCTCCCAAACAAACAGAAACCATGTTTAAACTCCTTTTCAGATAGAATCTGAAAATTCTTTTTCACCTTTTCAGATGGAATCTGGCTGTATTACTTCTGAAATAATGAAATTGGCTAGCTCATAGTTTCTTAGTTTAATTAATTGACTAAGTAATTAACTATTTTAAAGGGAGACGTGTCATCATAGTGAAAGAAGAATATTAGTTTGGGTTTGGGCTTAGGTTTAGTATCATGCTACATTTAAATAAACAAGTAGGATTGATTTAGTATTTAACAGAAGAAAAATAGGTCCATAGAAAACCACATCCAAATAGCAGAAATGTAAGAGTAAATATTACAGGGTTCTTGAAAGTACATGGTTTATTATTCTAATATTTCAAGTGAAAACACCAAGTTAGATAAAAAAAAAATCTGGATTATGAGGACATTAGGGAAGGAAAGAGGAGAAATGGCTAAATGAAGACAAAATGTGATTTTTAAATTTCTGATCAAATAAATTAGATAAAGATTTGCATAAAAATCAGGGAGAAGCTATATTATTGCATCACCACTTGATAAACACAGAAAACACACAATTTTTATAAAATACTGAGGCCGTAAAGTAAAGGGAAAATGAATTTTGGCAGAATTTCCACTGAGTTACTGCCAACCCTTAAATGTGCCAAAGGTGGCTCAAGATATTTGATGAACCCAAGACACAGCCGCATTGTGTAGTTGCTAAAATTTTGCTTCATTATGGTTCTTATTTACAAGCTTTTATATGTGCAAAAATGTCATGTATTATTTATTCATTCATTTATTTATTTATTAATTTTATTCATTTGACAAAGAGAGAGAACACAAGTAGACAGAGAGGCAGGCAGAGAGAGAGAGAGAGGGAAGCAGGCTCTCCGCTGAGCAAAGAGCCCGAAGCGGGACTCGATCCCAGGACCCTGAGATCATGACCTGAGCCGAAGACAGAGGCTTAACCCACAGAGCCACCCAGGTGCCCTCATGTATTATTTATAATAAGAGTCGTTGGATATAAAATATCCAAGAGAATATACTCACACATTCCCTGAAGATCATAAACACAATTCCAAAACAACTTTGTCATTGGCTACAACAATAAGCTTTGTTGTTGGCCAGTGGTTGGCCAATCTGAACCAATATCAAAACTAAGAAAGCCAAAATATATATGGTCGACCCAAGAGATGTGTATAAATAAGGAAAAGTAAAAAGATTCATTCTACTCACAGGAAGTCCCTGTTTTCCTGGTAGCCCAACTTTTCCAGAGTTTCCTGAAATGCCATCGGCTCCATGGTATCCTTGCATGCCTTTTGGCCCAGGTAGGCCAAGAAGACCCTTGGTAATAAAAAATTACATGGATTATAGAGAGATGCTATACAAATGTTTAAATGACAAATACCTTTATATTTGGGAGAGGGATGTTTACATTTTTAATACCCTGCCCTAGGATAAATTTTCCTGTTTCCTGAATTCTCTTTTGTATTCAACAGATCAGCTACCTGTCTTTAAATCCCTAAAGAGAAATGCCAAGTTTATGAAAAATTACTGTATAAGCTTTTCAGTTTCAGTGTAATTCTCTCATATTTTTCATTGTCCTGGCCTCTTCTCTATCCAGCTATGGAGAAAAGTAAGTTATATGCACCTGTCAATTTATGATACAACAGTATTTTACCATTTGCAAAACTTCATGTCCTGTTACTTTCTCAAGAAGTGTATGTATTACGGTTCTTTCTGTTGCCACTCTGAACTACATAATTATATGACTGCATAAAGGTCTGAGCATTTTGTTTCTACTCTTTGGGCATGTGGATTTTATCTGTAAGAATCTCTGATCTGTATGTGCTTTTAATTTATGTTCATTTTCTTTTCTTTTTTTGAACCAACAGAGGCCACTCAAAGTAGGCATCCAGCCCTTGGCTATGGAAGACCAGCAGGAAGTAAGTCTTTGCTAATAAGCCAGTCAACACATAATTTGGTTGGCCAGAGGAAACTGATGGCTAAGGTAAAATTAATCTTTGTTCTGTGATGAAATGATTTGAAGCATTTTCTTCTAAGACTTTCTGTTCTGTTTGCCAGGAAACTGAAAGGATGCGTCCTTCAAGTACAATCCAGCTCATGCTTTTTATTCATGCTTGAGGATCTCTGACCTTTGTCACTAATCATTTAGTCATATTTCAAGTTCCCTGTTCTCAGTCATGATCAGAGAGCAGGATGAGTCCACAGAGAGAGCTCCGTAACACCGGAAAATAGCATCCTTCAACTGCAGAGACTTAAATAGCAAGCCTGGTTCTGAGCTAACAGTCATATTTTGTTCCCTCTGTGTTCCAGCTTGGGCTTAAATTTTTTTTGAAGACAAGCTGATTTATCCAACACTTGTCATAATTGGCCCCAAACTTTTCTGCTTGCTGAAGCTGCCAATTCTATTTAGAAAATCGAAGATGAAAAGGGCCTGCTACTTACAGGAATCCCAGGTTTCCCAGAAGGACCAGGAGCTCCTTTTCTCCCCCTAGGACCCTAAAAATGTGAAGCACAATTGTCACTTAATTTTAACAAACTTCACTAAGCTGAAGGCATAGCAAAGACCCTGAGCCTGGGATGCTGCAGCCAGGACTGCCGGCGGCTAGCGGGACACCACTGAGATTGCCTGGGAGCCATTTTCTTGATCCGAAAACAAGATAATTTGACCAGATAATCTGTGAATCTCCACCTAGCTCCAAATCCTAGGATTTAAGAATTTAAATCTTGGCTCTAAAAGGGAACTGAATATTATCCAGTAAATGTTCACGTTTTCAGATAGGGCCTTTGTCTTCCCGTTGAACGTGGCTAAGTGGTTTACTAATTTCATAAACATTTATTGACTATTTTGTATGTGCTGGGGATGCAAAGGCAAAGTTACTGATCCCAAGACACTCACAATATCGTAAGAGACATGAACCAATGGCCTCAAATGTGCTTATCTGGAAGCAGAGAGAAGAACATACTTGTGAATCAAAGAAAAGATATTTATTTCCCACGGAACTCTTTGTTTTTCCATGTGTGAGATGTTTTAAATCATAATCGATTCAGCAGTAACTGGTCTGCCAGGATAGTTAGGAACTTTTGCCCTTTGAGAATCATGCCATTATTCTGATGATATCCTAAAATTATTTTAAAAAGAAAAATGTGGAAAAGAGTGACCTAGTTCACAAATAAGAAAAAGAAGCATATTGTCATTACCAGACACATTTCTCAGAAGTCACTGAAAGTTCTCACAAACAGAACAATTCCACCAAAATGGGATGTTAAGTTATTCAGATTTAAAGGTAAATCATGCCAAAGATTCAAGTTGACAACAACAACAAAGTAAATAATTTCATAACATATTACATCCTCTGAAAATGATCTTAACATTTCAAGAAGAAATAGTACATGCAGTCATAGGAAAAAAAGGACATTTCCTGTAAGAAATAAAAATCCAACTTTGTAGGAATTTGATAATGGGGAGATATATTCAATAAGAGTTCTACCTCCAGCTTGGAAAACTAATTTACTTGCATTAAAAATTCACTAATGTGAAGTCCTTCCAAGGGTAAGGAAACCAAGAAAAGAAACAGTAGATGATCTCACTTAGCTGAAGATGATGCAATTCCTAGAATTATTTGATCTCTAAAATATAATATATCTTTTAGAACAAAATAAGGAAGTAAAATAAATAAGATTTTAAATATTGAAAAAATTGTTATTTCAGTTATCTCTAATAGCACTTATTAAATATTATATGAACCGTGATAATATTCAGATATATTAACAAGAGTGTTTTTTCCTTTACAGTATTTGTTTTTAGGCAAAGTGATAGATCTGTTCTAGATTTTAGGTTTTCAAAATAGACTATTCCTTAGTTTATGAATTTCAAAATAGTCCTCCGAAACTCATGGTGGAGTAACAATTTGAGGATGTAATATTTTGGGAAGAATATATTTTTAAAAGCAAAAGGCTGATTTTTAAATATTTAAAGTCTATATTTGATTATCAAAAACCAAGTTGACAAAGAATTCAAGTCATACATTTTGCCATAAAGAACAGACTTAGAATTATAATAGTGTAAGAGAAAATTTTCCTATTTAAGGGGATATAAAGATCTTCAAATTGGAGAAATGTAAGAAGAGAAGTAGAGAAGCAAGATTGTTTGGCTCTGATGGGAGTCTCTGAGACAGGCCCTTCACACCTCACTCTGTCCTCATGTCCTGGGGTCGGTAGAAGGAATGATACCCTCAGAGAAGTGTGGGGATTTGAGCACGGAGACAATGGCTAGGGAGACTAAAGTCTTCATTTTGAAGTCCACATAAACTGCACTGAGTGTCAGCAATAGAGTAGAAATTTCTGCATGAGATGTGTAGGCCAGTGGGCTTGAGAAAGTCTGAGTTTCCTAAGCACCTAGCATGGTATAGGAATTAGCAGAATGTATTTCGACAGGGCCAAGAATAGAGCATATAGCCGTTAAGGGCCTATGTAAGGAGACTTTGTACCTTTTCTATACTCAGAAATAGCTATACATGTCAGCATGGGTTGAAGAGCTTCTTCTGCAAGGAAGGGTCAAGGTAGATGTCGGCATGGTGGGATGATGGCAACTGGGGACCTACATGGATGATGAGCATTTCAGTGTATACTAGGGTGGACAGATGACCAAAGACCACACTCACCTTCCATTCCTCTTCCCCACCACTACTACCCAGAATGTAACTATAAACTTGACAAGGGAGTGAATAGGGAAAACTCTAAATCAAATGTAGGATATTTGTGTGGCTAGAGTTAAAGGCACTCATTGATTAGATTTCCACCAATTAGGTTTCCTTTTTTTTTTTTTTTTTTTTTGTCTCCAACCCATTAGGTTTCTACCACCAGGCAGGCTGGGCACTCAGGACAGATGTTAAGTTCTATTATAAAGAACACAAAAAACAAAGTTATATTTTTAGTATACCTGATTTTATGCCTTATGGTTCAGACATACTACACATATAAGTAAGGGTTTTACTTCAAATGTTTGTATAACAAAATAAAAACAAAGAGATTCACATATCATCACAGACTGATTATATTTTTGGATCATGATTATGTTAGGGATTATTTCAGAAAAGTTAAATGTTGTGTACTGAAATCTACATGTATGGGTCTATTATTATGAAAATCAGAATGTTTTTCAGACTTGAATGGGCAACAGGAAGCAGCTCCCTACAGAATAACATGAAAGGGAAAGTATGACTATAAAAATTATTTTTAAACTATATTTTGCTACTTGTAACGTGTGGCAAAATCTGTCTATTCAAGACAAAAAGTATTTAGCAAACAAAACTATAGTCTGCTGTTTTGAGATGTTCGATTCAGGAAAGAGTTCTTTATTACAATTATTATGATCATACTCAAAGGAAGTAGGCCAGCTAGAAAAAACATAGTCTTACAGTTGAGATTGTAAATGCATAAAGATCAACAAAGTGTAGAACATTGATATTTTTTAAAAAATTGTACATTAAAAAAATCTCAAAGTGGAATTGTTGACTTATAAATAAATTAAGAGCCAAACATTACTAAACATTAATCCTATACTGGTCTATTTCAATAGGAAATTATAGATTTGGGCCAAAGACAAAGAAAATATTTTGTCATATAAGGTGCTGATACATGACTGAGTTGCTATCTTACGAAGGAAAAAAGTCACTCTTTAACCAATACCCAGAATTCAAACATAGTATTCTAATGATACTTTTAAACTTAACTTATTCATATTACTTTATTTAAATATTAAGTACCCCATAAATGAACAAACAGACTTTTCTGTTCTCATAATAGGAAAGGCAAATGAACTTTACATGTATTCTTTAGAGTAAGCATAAAATTGTGCTTTCTCTTTTGTTTGGCTAGTTTTGAAAAACAGAATGGCCCATTTGAAATTGGATCCAGTTAAAACAGCTTTCCTTTCATGGAGATTGTACCAGTTTATAGGCTCCTAGAGAAGGTAGTCTAATTCTCTTGATAAAAGACATTTTAAAATGTGTCATTATAGTCCAACCCTTGTTTGTTTTTTATTTAAGTGAAACTGAAAAACAGTTACCTTGATACATTGTTAGTTCTAACTGTGTTAGAGAGGATAGGTTTACAATCAATACACACAGATTTAGAGTTTGACAATAATTACTCTTTCTCTCTTCTTCTTTTTTCTTAACCAAGAAATTTCAATTCACTGAATCTGGAATTTTGTTTTGGAAGAAAAATAAGATTTTGGCTTGAGTCTTAGTCTTTGAAAGCCATTATAGGACAGTTCACTATATTTGAATTTAAAAAGTCTTTGAAAATGTAGTGGTTGTGCAATTGGCTTTGGCCTGCTCTTTTTCTTTATAGTTGCCCACTGTCTCATGCATGAGAGTCCAATGAATAAGTTAGTTGGTTAAGATTAATCATATTTTCCTTAATTTATAAATTATTTCAAAGTAATAGAAGGCTTTTGTATAACATTGGGAGTCGGGAAATTTCTAGCATTGGTTCTGTTAACTAATTCTGCGATCTTAGGTAACTCAATCTCTCTGAGACTTAAATTTCTTCATCTGAAAAGGAGAGGGTGGTTCAGATGATTTTAAAGGGCCACTTGCAACCCTAAAAAACAAATTTGAAGCTTTGCAAAAACAAGATGACAACAATTGGACAAAATCCACCTGGCCGCTGAAGGTGTCCCTAGTGAGTAATACATGGTCAATGATTATTCTTGTAGCAATAATAACTATTTTAAATTTTAAGAGGGTTTTTAATGTAACTTGAACTGTATGGCAGCATTGCCCAAAGCAGGATAGAACTAATTCCCTTGAATTATACAGAATTTAAACTATGTTTCCTCAGCATTTTTTGGCTCTAATACCCAGGGAGATTTGACCATGTCAGCTGGAAATGTAGTTGTCTAAGAAGAATATTTGAATTGCATTGGCATAATTTTAATAGATACTAACAAATATTTCAAAAATTTCTTCTTCCTGACATATGTCAAAAAAGAAAAAAAAATATTGAGAATATGAAAGTACTAATTGTAAGAGATTAAAGATTTTAGGCTCAAACTTGGGAGAGCATTTGTATCCTTGGGCACTTAATGCAAATATAAGGAAGTCAAATGAAAGCAGTAGTAGTGTTCTAGGCTTTTTCCACTATTTTTTCCAATTTGGGTATTAAAAATTCCAATTAAATGGGACAATTACCTTCTTTCTCCGCATTTTTTCTTGTTAAGGGTTGCCTTCAATTGGATGTTTTTATTTTTTTATTTATTAGTTCTTATTTATTAAGGAAGCTCACAGGAAGTCAAGACTTGAATATAGTCAAGACTATTCAAAATGGCTTTAGGTGAGTGAGCACCTATGTAATATCAGATTCAACCCAATTTTACTACTTATTTCCACAAGTAGGAAACACAAAGTATGGATGAAGACTTAATAAATTAGGAGAAATGTGGTCTCAAATTGATTGCTTTTTATCCATTCTCACCTGATTTATTACTAAAATACAGTATGTTTTCTCAAGAAATTAAAATCAATAGCAAGTGAAATCAGAATGCTATGAAAAACAAGGTAGCAATGAACTGATGGTACAAATCACAAAGCAAGTTATAAGGCAACAACCTTCAGTAAGATTGAGGCAACATTTAACAGTACACAGGAAAAGACATGTCTAAATGCAACAGTTAATACATTTGTAGTTTATTTGATAACAGATAATTGGCTTGTCATATGGAAAAAAAAATTTTACACCAATTGTAAATCTGTGTCCCATAGTCAAACTATTTCTATCCTTAACCTTATTACAACTAAATAGGTTTGACTGATAAGTTTTCACTTTTCAATGCTGGTTTTAAGGATTATTGATATTTTTGCTTGAAACCCCAAGGAGCGACCATTTGTTTTGGACAACTTTAGGCAATTTTCACAAAGCCAGAAAAGGCTGCTGATAAAGGGAAACTGGGATTGCAGTCAAAACACATGAAATAACCAATAATCCTGTTTTGGCACAATTATTGACCAACACTCTCCTTAGGGGCCTACAGTGATCCTTGCTCTGGAAGGGTGAATGTTCATTTAAATTACAAATGTCTGTGCCTTCTCAAACCAACAATAAGTTTCAAGTTGTCTTAATTTCAACTTACTTCAGATCCTCTCTCTCCTTTTAGTCCTCGTTCACCCTGGTCACCTGGCTCACCCTTTAACAGGAAACCAAACAGAAATCACATACGAAGCAGGGACAAAATGAGATATATAAACATCAATTTTTTGTCAATGCCAGAATTACAAAGAGTATTTTCAAAACATACTGGGGGCCCTTGTTGTCCAGCAGCACCTCTTGGTCCCGGTAAACCCACATGACCCTAGGAATAGAAAAGATTATATTATTAGAGTAAATAGAGACATGTAACTTAGAGAATAGGGTAGTATCACTTAAAATGGTAGCAAAATGTTACAAAATGCAATTTAAATATAAGAAATCATTATTTTCTCTCAGAAATGTTATAGAACATAATGTCCAATAGATATTATGATAACTGAGAAAGAATGGAAAGTGTAGTTCTGTTTTGCACATAGGTTAATGTAGTGGGGTGAATGAAGATTCTATGTCCTAATCCCCATAACCTGTGAATATGATCTCATTTGGAAAAAGGGTCTTTGCAGGTATCATTGAGTTAATGATCTTAAAAAGATATTATCCTGAATTGTCTATGACAAGTACCCTCAAAAGAGAGAGAGAGACAGTAAAGGAGAGGGCCTTGTGAAGACAAGAGGCAGACACTGGAGTGTCTGGGGCCACCAGGAGACCTGTCAACCAACAGAAGCCAGAAGAGGAAAGGAAGGATTCTCCTCTAGGGCCTGTGGGAGGGAGCATGGTCTGCTACTCTTCAATTTCAGGTTCCTGGTATTTGGAACTGTGAGAGAATAAATTTCTATTTTTTAAACCACCCAGTTTATAGTAATTTTGGTCAGTAAATTCATACGGTATAGAAAGTTTGCGAACAAATTTCTTTCTTCAACCTATTCTCACTGTGGAAGTAAACTATGGTCTCTATTTTTACAAACTAAGTTCATACCACTTCAGTAGATCTATTGAATTGAAAACTGGGAGTTGTTACTGTATCTAATGCCAAGGCACATCAGATGACTTTGATATTCAGCAACCTATCATTACCCTAGTCCTCCTAAGAAGGAATGCTAACCTACCACATTTCCCTTTTCAAGTGTGTAAATAGAAACTAGCAACAACCCAAGGGCATGTCAGAATATGCATGAAGAATTCTGCATGTAATCTCTTTTATCCCCTTCCCTACTGTCCACTTTGCTTCAGAATTCTTTCTTCCTACTCTCTGTACAGAAAGAATGCCATAGGCTCATCTCCTTTTTCTGGACTAGGAGAATTAAGGATTGTCTACATAGGCTAACAATATTTATCTTATAGAAAGATCAGTTGAAGCCTTCTTTGTTTGCATTCTTTGAGGCCAATGTTTATGGTTTTAAGATCCAATTTCCTTAAAAAAAAAAAATCCAACTTCCTGATCTAAAAAAAAAAAAAAAAAAGGAATCCTCTTTAAGAGGATGAACAGTGGCAAGAGAGAAAGGTTAGTTTGGAAAGGTTTCTATAGAACATGGACATAACTAAAGAGAATACCATTACCACACATGGCCTTACCAGTAAAACATGAGCAGAGTCAGCAATAACAGAATCAGGTCAGTCAAGAGGAAGTTTGGTACAAATAAATATAATGATTATAGGTCATTTATGAAGCAGAACTCAGGAGAGAAGCTATTGGTGAAAAGCTGGAGTTACAGAGTGCAGTGAGGCTGAGCATATGAGCAAACTGTGAAACTCAAAACCATCAATGTCCAACTGAATTTTCTACCATTTTTGTCTATAGTTTACAGGGACTCTTTTAGGATGATCATCGAATAGCCAATTGCTTCCTTTGGTTTTGTGAAGTCTGGATACAAATCTTACTAAAAACAAATATCCTTTCTAGGAGTTTCACTATAAATCCTCTGGTTCTTTCTATCACAATAAAAATTGACAAAGACCATTTTTCTGCAGGGTTAAAAATTAAATATGCTATCGTAAATATTATAAAGTCATGTAGACAAGGTTATGGGAAATGACTGACTTGCCTAATGATATTAGTGGTGGGATGAGCTAAATGGCCAAGGGGAGGTAGATGGTCAATTTTACAAGGGAAGTGATGAATCTTGAAGGATGAATGTTCCAGGCAGTAAAGTAGAAAGAAGACATTCTGGCAGAGGAGATAGCATGGGGGATTAAATGGAGATTCATCTGACAGAACATGTTAAGAGGAGAATGGATTTGAAAGGGCTATAACTAGGGATAGGGAGCCTAGTTAGGAAGTTACTAAAGTAATTCAGGCAAAAATGAGGAAACCTAAACTAACATAGGGCAAAGTGGCTAGATTCCAGAGCTATCTGATGTCAAAAGAAGTGGTCAAATGAACTTGATAGATGAGAGGAGAGAGAACGGAATGAGAGGAGGGAAAGGATAAGAAAGACAGAGACAGAAAGAAACACAGTGGGAGCAACAGACACACACAGAAACAGATACACAGAGAGAACAACAGAGAGAGACAAAGACCAGGACAGACAGAGAGACAGAGAGAAACAATTCCTTATTGGGTTGACCACTGTACTGTGTGATGGTAGCATTTACTGAATTGGGGACATAGAAAGAAGAGGATCAGATTTGGGGAGGATGATGAAACTGTTGTATAGAACATACTGACATAGAGGTGCCTGTGATGATATCCAATAGCAATGTGGATATGCATGTCTGATGGTAATGAGTGATAGCCAACTGAGGTTTTAAATATTGCTATCTTATTGTGTGCAAAGATGCTAAGGACTTTGCCAAACCAAAGTGAAATGGAGTCTGACCTGGAGCATAATTTATTCAATGTATTTCTAGGACTTTATCTCATACAGGCTTAGTCTGAGTTAATCTTAGGTATGTTTCTGCACATAGCTTTAAAAAACTTATTCCCACTATGTACTCTGGTTTTCTCAAGACTCAGATGAATTTATCTTGACCAATGGAATGTATAGCTTTCTGGATGACAGCTATAATTTACTATATGTTTTTATACTGGTTAAATGTTCTTATTCTGTATGTCTTCTACATGTTATGTCTACAGACATAGGGACTGTGCCTAGGGTGTCCAGTATTAAATTCATGGCACCTAGTTCTGCTCTTGGCCCATAGCAGATATTCAAATACGTGATGAGTGACCAGGGATTTTATTATGCACGACGCTTAAGATCTGGCATGTATAATGATGCCTAATTAGTATTTATTGATGACAATGAGCAAGACACATGATTTTTATAATTCTCAGTTTCTTGAAAAGGAAAAAAGAACAAAGGATGGTGAAAAAGATCTTTAAAAATTTCTTTAATTGTTCGTAGACAAATGGAAACATAATCTATATTATCCATTCCATTTTTTTAAAGATTTATTGGTTCGAGAGAGAGAGAGAGAGAAAGAGCGAGCACATGCCTGTGCACTGGTGGGGAAAGAAACAAGGGGAGAGAATCTTCAAGCAGACTCCCTGCTGAGAGCAGAGCCCAATGCGGGGCTCCATCTCGTGACCCTGAGATCATGACCTGAGGGGAAACCAAGAGTGCGATGTTTACCTGGCTGAGCCACCCAGGTGCCCCCATTCCATTTTTTTTAATCCAATAGGAATAATCATGAGTTCACATAATTGTAAGAATATTTGTGAATATAAAAATGTTTTTTAAAAAGTTGGTGATTATTCAGCCATAAAAAGCAATGAAGTATTAATATATTCTACAACATTGATGAACTTTGAAAATATTATGTTAAATGAAATGGAGCCAGACACAAAAAGCTGTATATTGTATGATTCCATTTATATGAAATAATCAGGATAGACAAATCAATAGAGATATAAAGCAGAGTAATGGTTGCCAAAGGTGGAAGAAGTAGAGTGACTGCCTAATGGGTATGGTGTTTCCTTTTTGGGGTGATTGAAAATGTTCTAAAACTATGTAGTGTGTGATGGTTGTACAGTATTGAGAATGAATTAAAAGTTTCTGAATTGTACACTTTAAAATGGTTAAAATAGAGGTGCCTGGGTGGCTCAGTCTGTTAACCATCTGCCTTCAGCTCAGGACATGATCTCAGGGTCCTGGGATCAAGCCTCATGTCACTGGGCTCCCTGCTCAGCAGGGAGTCTGCTTCACCCCTTCCCTCTGCCCCTCCCTCCTGCTCATGCTCTCTCTCTCAAATAAATAAAATCTTAAAAAAATAAAATAAAATGGTTAAAATGGCAAATTTTGTATTATGTGTATTTTAGCACAACAAAAAAGCTTGGTGACAATGCTAACCATCATTTTACTTGAGTTAAAGGATAGTATATACATTTTAAGATTACAGAAAAGCAAATATTTAAAAATTTCACCTGAGGCTACAACAGAATCATCTAACTAAATGAAGCATATTTCCCTTGTATGAATCAAGCTTGTGCTTGGGAAAGCTTGGCAGGGGACAAGTACGGATATTTCATGGCTTTCAGATGTCTAAGCAATAAAATTACTGTGGCTGTTTGGCTCAAGATGGCTTGTTTAGAATAAAAACAGCAACAAATGATGAAATGACCTCTAAAACCTAAGGACATAGGGTAGAATAAGACAGAAAGGAAGCTGTGGATCAAACTAATTCATGAAATAGCCACAGCTGAAAACTTCAGGAGTATTTGTGGAAGGAGGAACAGATTCCACAGTAGCCCTAGAAGAAGTTCTCTGATGAAGGATTTCTGAATAAGGTGTGACTATCCAGAGTAAGGCAGGCAGGGTTTTCCTTCTGCTAGCCAGGTGAAGAGATTGTTTTCTTCTTCCAAAAGAATTTACCTGTTCGTTTGGCAGTAAATTTGCTGTTAGCTGCCAAATGTTTTGTAGTTGGTAGAGGCCAAAAGAAGATATCTCAAGAACCTGATTTTCCTGAGAATGTGTCAAGTTATGCACAGCAAAAACTAAGGATATTTAAGATGCTTCTCAAATTATTCTGGAAGCAGTGGGTTGGTTTTTCAACCCAAAGAAAATCCATTTTCAAGTAAATACACTGGATCCCTTGGATTAATAAACACTTATAGATACAGATGTTACATAAATTTGAAAGAGAATATATGTATAATGTTCTAAAAACATTTCTCTAAAAATAGAAGAAATGCAAGATGGTCACCACAACAATTTCACAAACATTTAGAGCTACCTTCAACATTTGCTTCAAAGAGAATTTTAGGAACTGAAAATTGATTTTTCAGATTTCAAGTTTGAGAAAATCAATTTATTGATGATAATTATCTACCTACTGGCTTGTTCATTGAATCTGGCTATTTAAATCTTCATTTCAGATATGATTACTGAAATTTTATATATATATAATTATATATATATTTATATAAAATACATGTATTTTATATAAATTTTTAATATAATAAAAATTATATGAAATTTTATATGAGCATATTGGCTCAAATAACCCATCACTTCATTATTAAAAATGAACGATGGTTATATACATATTATAAACAATTATGTACAAAGCTCAAAACAAAACATTGTAGAAGAAAGAGAGAAGTCATACTCAAATTGGAGAGCCAAGAGATCTGCACTTAACAATAATTAGTAAAATATCAGTAACAGAAGATAGTAAAATATTTCTGTTGAATGATTTTTATAAATAATAAATATTACAGGACTACAGAATAGGAAAATATTCCTGTTAGAGTGAGTTGTGAAAAAAAGGAGTTTGAACTAGAATATAAAAGATAGATAGGATTTATGTAAATAAAGATTAGATAATACTGTGAGTAGGCACAGAATGCTGCGAGCAAAGGAACGACATAGAAACTATAGGAAGAGAGCTAACAGATGACTATTTTGTTTAGCTGTTGACACTGTAAACAGGAAGAAAAATGAGATGAGGCAAGAATACACAACATCTTACACACAAATGTGCTAATAAAAAATGACACAAAATAAATTCTACACTTAGCCTAATATAATTTTGGCTGATGAAGTTGGTCTCATAAAATACTTCTAAGAATGAAAGAGGACAAGAATTGACAGAAGGCTTGAGAATATGACATTCATTCTCCCATTTGACAACTCCATTAAATTCCTGCTGTACACCAGGAACATTATGTTCTAGAAATTTGGGATATGATGAAGAAGCCAGAAAAGAGTATTATTTTCATGGATCTTACTTTTTGTTAGGGAAAAATAGGCAATGCACAAACAAACAAAACCTACACAAATGTATAAAAAAAGAGGTAAGAAAATATAGATAGCATTAAATACGTTATAAAGTGAGGGCTAGAAAGGACAGAGAAGGTCTTTCAGGATGTAACATTTCAGCTGAGATATGAATGATGAGAAAAAAACAGCAATAGGAGAAGATGAAGATGATTTTAAAAAGAAGGAACAGAAAGTACAAACAGCTAGGCTTGTTCTAGGATCAAAACCACAAAATGTTACTAATAACTCAGTGATGCTTATTTTTTTTTTGAAACTGAGAAAGATCACAGAGAACACTAATTCGATTTATAAGCAGGGAATGAAATTTGCTGTATTTACCTTATAGCCCTCTCCTCCAGGCTCTCCTCTCTCTCCTTGTTCCCCAACAGGACCCTACAGAGACCACATGCAAAAATAATCAATTTCACAGCTGGATCCAAGTATTTGTGAATGCAGATAATACAGTTAGCGCAGAATTTTTTTTCCAAAAATATGAAACCGAATATATAATTATTTGCTTAGTTCTACTAAATAATTTCAAAAGACTGAATTTCAGTAATACCAAGAATATCATAAGCATGGAATTATTTAAAGAGGATCTCATAATGATTCTGCAAGGAAAAATATTAAAGAAATGAAGTCCACTTAAACAATAAAAATTTTCAGATGGATAGGCATATTTTTTGAAATACAGTTGACATACAATATTATATTATTTTTCAAGCATACAACATAGTGATTCAACATTTATACACATTATGAAGTGATCACCAGAATATCACCATATGTCACCATCTGTCACCATATGTAGTTATTATAATATTATTGATCTTGTGCACTATGTTGTACTTTATATTACATTCGCATGACTTATTTATTTTATAACTAGAAGTTTGTAACTCTTAATCTCCTTCACCTATTTCAGCCACCTCTCTGCACCGTCCTCTCTAGACAGTTTGTTCTGTGATTTACGAGTCTGTTTCTGTTTCTGTTTTGTTTTTTAGACTCCAAATATAAGTAAAATCATACAGTATTTTTTTCTAACTTATTTCACTTAGCATAATGCCCTCTAGGTGCACCGATATTGTCACAAATGGCAAGATTTCACTCCTTTTTATGGCTGAGTTATATCACATTGTGTGTGTGTGTGTGTGTGTGTGTGTGTGTGTGTGTACACATACTACATCTTCTTTATCCATTCATCTATCAGTAAACATTTAGGCTGTTTCCGTATCTTGGCTATTGTTAAGTAACGCTGCAATGAACATATAGGTGCATGTATCTTTTCAATGTTTTTCATTTCCTTCAGATAAATACCTGTAAGTCAAATAGCTGGGTCATACATTATTTCTATTTTTAATTTCTTAAGGAATCTCCATACTGTTTTAAATAGTGGCTATACCTATTTACATTACATTCCCACCAACAGTTCATGAGGGTTATTTTTTTCCCCACACCCTTGGCAACATTTTTTCTTTCTTTCTTCTTTTTTTTTGGGGGGGGGGGATACTAGTCATTCTGACAGCTGTGAGATAAAATCTCATTGTGATTCTGATTTGTATTTCCCTGATTAGTGATGTTGAGCATCTTTTCATGTGTCAATTGGTCTTCTATATGTCTTCTTTGGAAAAATACTTATTCAGGTCCTCTATCCATTTTTTAAAAATCAGATTGTTTTATTTGTGTTGAATTGTATGAGTTCTTTGTGTATTTTGGATAGTAATCCTTTATCAGATATATCATTTATAAATATCTTCTCCCATTTATAAGGCTGCCTTTTTGTTTTTTGATGGTTTTCTTTACTATGAAAAAGCTTTTTAGTTTGATATAATACCAATTGTTTATTTTTGCTTTTATTGCCTTTGCCTGAGGAGACAGACCCCCAAAAATATTCCTAAGACTGATGTGCAAGAGTTTACTCCTGTTTTCTCTTGGAATTCTTATGACTTCTGGTCTTACATTTAGGCCTTTAATTCATTTTGAGTTTATTTTTGTACATAGTGGAAAAAGGTGGTCCAGTTTCACTCTTTCACATGTATTGTCCAGTTTTCCCAACATTATTTATTGAAAAGACTATCCTTTCCCCACTGTATATTCTTGCCTTTTTTGTCATAGATTAATTGATCATAGAAGTGTGTGTTTATTTCTGAGCTCTCTATTCTGTTCCATTGATATATGTATGTATTTTTGTGCCAGTACCATACTGTTTCGATAACCACAGCCTTGAATCAGGCAGCATGATACCTGCAGCTTTGTTCTTCTTTCTCAAGATAGTTTTGGCTATTTAGGGTCTTGTCATTCCATACAAGTTTTAGGGTCATTTGTTCTAGTTCTATGAAAAACCCTGTTGGAATTTTGCTAGGAATTGTATTGATTCTATAGGCTGCTTTGGATAGTATGAACATCTTAACATTATTAATTCTTCCAACCCATGAACATGGTATATATTTCCACTTGTTTTTGTCATCTCTAGTTCTTTCATCAATGTCTTACAGTTTTCAGAATACAGGTCTTTCACCTCCTTGGTTAAATTTATTTCTAGAGATTTTATTATTTTTGACTCAATTGTAAATGGGATTGTTTTAATTTCTCCTTCTGATAGTCTGTTATTACTATATGAAAATGCAACAGATTTCTGCATATTAATTTTGTATCCTGAAACTTTATTCAATTAATTTAGGAGTTGTAATAGCTTTTTGGTGAAATATTTATTTTCTATTTATAATATAATGTCATCTGCAAATATTGACAGTTTTACTTTTGTCCTACCAATGTGGATATTTTTTTCTTTTTCTTCTTTGATTGCTATGGCTAGGATTTCTAGTACTATATTGAATAGAAGTGGTGAGAATAGGCATCTTTCTATTATTCCTGATGTAGAGGAAAAGCTTCAGTTTTCACCACTGAGTATGATGTTAGTTGTGAGTTTGTCTTATATGCCCTTTCTTACATTGAGGTATTTATTCAGAGTTTTCATCATAAGTGGATATTGAATTTTGTTAAATGCTTTTCTGCATCTGTTGAAAGGATCATACGATTTTTATCCTCCATTTTTTTTTTGTAAAGATTTTATTTATTTATTTGGCAGAAAGAGAGAGAGAGCACAAGAAGGGGAAGCAGCAGAGGGAAAGGGAGAAGCAGGCTCTCTGCTGAGGAGGGAGCCTAATGTGGGTCTTGATCCCAGGACTCTGGGATCATGACCTGAGCTGAAGGCAGACGCTTAACTAACTGAGCCACCCAGACACCGTATCTTGCATTTTGTTAATGTGTGTATCAAGTTGATTTGAAATACTGAACCATCCTTGCATCCCTGGAATAAATCTTACTTGATTGTGGTATAAGATCTTCTTAATGTATTGCTGAATTCTGTTTGCTAATATTTTGTCAAGGATTTTTGCATTATGTTCTTGCATCTATGTTCCATGTTCATCTATGATATTGGCCTGTAATTTTCTTCCTTCCTTCCTTTCCTTTTTTTTTTTTTTTTTTTTTGTACTGCCTTTTATCTGGTCTTGGTATCAGGATAATGCTAGCTTCACAGAATGAATTTGAAAGCATTCCTTCCTCTAATTTTTTTTTTTTTTTTTTTGAGTAGCTTGAGAAGTATAAGTATTAATGCTTCTCTATACATTTGGTAGAGTTCACCTGTGAAGCTGTCTGGTTTTGGACTTTGGTTTATTGGAAGTTTTTTTGATTACTGAGTCATTCTCATTACGAGTAGTGGGCCTGTTCAAATTTCTATTCCTTCCTGATTCAGTCTTGGAAGATTATATATGTTTAGGAATTTATCCATTTCTTCTAGATTGCCTATTTTATTGACATATAACTGTATGTAGTAGACTGGGGGATACTGTTTTTATTTTCATTTTTCTTCAGGTATTTTTTGATTTCCTCTTTAATTCTTCATTGATCCCTCATTTGATTAGTAGCATGTTGTTTAGCTTCCATGTGCTTGTGTTTTTTTTTCCAGTTTTTTTCCTTGGTATTTATTTCTAGTTTCATAGTAATGTAATCAGAAAAGAGGCTTGATATGATTTCATCTACCTTAAATTTATTGACTTGCTTTGTGACCCAGCATGTGATCTAACCTAGAGAATGTTCCATGTGCACTTCAGAAGAATGAGTATTCTGCTGTTTTTGAATGGAATGTTCTGTATATATTCATTAGGTCTCTCTGGTCTAATGTGTTGTTTACGGCTATTGTTCCTTACTGATTTTCTATATGAATTATCTATCCATAGATATAAGTTAGGGTTAAAGTGCCCTACTATTATTGTATTACTGTTGTTTTTTCCCTTTATGTCTGTTAATAGTTGTTTTATAAATTTAGGTGCTCCTAAGATGACTGCATAGAGATCTACAATTGTTATATCTTCTAGTTGAATTGATCCTTTTATCATTATGTAATGTCCTTCCTTATATCATGATACAATCTTTGTTTCAAAGTCTATTTTATCTGGTATAAGTATGCTACCCAGGTTTTTTTCATTTCCATTTGAATGGAATATTTTCTTTTCCATCCTTTCATTTTCAATCCATGTGTGTCTTTAGGTATGAAGTAAGTCTCTTGTAGGCAGCACATAGATGGGTCTTATTTTTCTTATCCATTCAGTTACCCTATGCCTTTTGATTGGAGCCTTTAGTCCACTTACATTTAAAGTAATTATTGAAAGATATGTACTTACTGCCATTTTGTTAATTGTTTTCTGGTTGTATCTGTAGTTCTTTTCTATTCTTCTCTTGTTCTCTTCCCTTGTGATTTGATGCTCTTCTTTAGTGGTATGTTTGAATTCTTTTCTCTCTCTTATTTTTTTGATGAATCTATCATAGGTTTTTGTTTTGTAGTTTCTATGAGTTTCATATTTAACACCTAATATAGTACCTAGCAGTCTATTTTAAGTTGACAGTCACTTAACTTCAAGAACATTAAGAACACTTAAGTTCAAGAATAAGAACAAAAAAGTCCTACATTTTTATTTTCCTCCTCCCACATTTTGTGTATTTGATGTTATAATTTACATATTTTATTTTATATATCCCTTAGGTAATTACTATAGATACAGTTGTTTTTACTATCTTTTTTGTGGGCAGGGAATCAGAGGGAGATGGGGAGAGAAAGAATATTAAGCATGCTCCATACCTAACATGGAGACCAACACAGGGCTCAATCTCATGACCCTGAGATCATGACCTGAGCCAAAATTTAAAAAAAATCAGACATTAACTAACTGTGGCACCCAGGTGCCCTGTTTTTACTACTTTTGTCTTTTAACATTCCTACCAGCTTTATAAATGGTTGAACAACTCTCTTTACTATGTTTGCTTTTTCTTTCATAATTTTTAGATCTCTAGTTATGGTGTTTTCTTTCCCACTTAAAGAAGTCCCTTTAACCTTTCTCATAAGTCCAGTTTAAAGGTGATGGATTCCTTTAACTTTCATTTGCCTGTGAAACTCCTTATCTCTTTAATTATGAATGATAATCTTGCCAGGGAGTGTATTTTTGGCCATAGGAATTTTTCCTTTCAGTGCTTCTCTGCTCCTTTCTGGCCTGCAAAGTTTCTGCTGAAAAATGACCTGATGGTCCTATGGGTGTTAATGTAACCAGTTGCTTTACTCCTACTGTTTTAAGATTCTCTCTTTATATTTAATTTTGACATCTTATTTTCTGTTGGTGTGGACCTCTTTGGATTCATCTTTTTTGGCGCTCTCTGTGCACCCTGCAGCTAGATGTTTGTTTCTTTCCCCAGGCTTGGAAAATTTTCATCTATTATTTCTTCCTTTTGTCTTGTTACATTCTTTATTTTAAGGTCTACTTATAAGACTTATGTTGATTTTGTATGCTTGCTATATTCCCAGAGGTTCCTTAAACTATTCTTTTTTTTTTTTTCCAACTTTTTTCTTTTTGCTATTCAGTTTGGATGACTTCTACTACCTTGTCCTCCAGAATGCTGATCTGTCTGTATCCTTTAATCTGTCATTGTTCCATCTAGTGTATTTTTTTCATCTCAGTTATTGTATTCTTCCATTCTGTTTTTTTTATTTTTTTATTTTTTTTTTATTTTCTAATGTCTTAGTTGAAGTTCTCACTGTTCATCTATTCTTCTGTCAAGTTTGGTGAGCATCTTTATGACCACTACTTTGAACTCCTTATCAGGCAGATTTCTTATCTCTGTTTCATTTGGTTCTTTTTCTGATTTGTCTTGTTCTTTGCTCAGAACATACTCCTCTGTCTCCTTGTTAGGACAGACTTACTTTGTTTGTTTCTAGGTATTAGGTAGATCAGCTATGTCTCATGGTCTTGACGGAGTGATCTCACGTATAAGTTGTCTATTGGGCCCGAGAAGCACACTCTCGTACACACTCACCAGAGCTGGGTACTCCAGAGGTGCCCTCTCGTACACACTCACCAGAGCTGGGTACTCCAGAGGTGCCCTGTGTAGGCTTTCTGTGCCCTCCTATTGTGGCTTGGCCACAACTGTTGCTGGCATGTTGGTAAGTGGGGCTGACCCCTGGCCCAGATGGCTGCAATGACTGGCCACATTGTTGTGGGTGGGGTAGCCCCTGGTGTGGCTGGTTGTAAGGTCAGACCACAACTGTTATAGGCATATTTTTAGATGGGCCTTGCCCCTGTCCCAGTCAGGAGCCACTCTGGAAGGGTGCAGGTTCAGGCTGAAGCCACTTGTTTGGTGTATTAGGACAAGAACTACTTTGGAGAATGCCAGGCCTGGACAAGGATACCTGCTGGGTGTGGCAGGATGGGAGCTACTTTGGGAGACACTGTTTAATGATCTTTTTAAAAGTATTTAATAGCTGGGGCACCTGGGTGGATCAGTTGGTTGAGTGTTGGTTAGTGGTTGGTTAGTGAGAGTAAGCCCCATGTGGAGCTGTGCGCTCAGTGTAGATACTGCTTGAGATTCTCTCTCCCTCTCCTGTTGCCCCTCTCCCTGCTCTCTCTCTCTAAATAAATAAAATCTTTTAAAAAAGTATCCAATCGCTAATCTTACTTTATCATTCTTTATCAGAAATTCTATTATTTATTCCTTAATCTGTGGACTTCTAAATTTTTTTTAAAGATTTATTTATTTTTAGACAGAAAAACAGAGAGAGAGAGAGAGCATGTGTGAGAGGGTGGGGGGTGGTGAAGGGGTAGAGGGAGAGGGAGAGAAAGAGAAGCAGACTCCCCACTGAGCGGGAAGCCTGACATGGGGCTTGATTTCATGACCCTGAGATAATGGCCTGAGCCAAAATTCTAGAGTCAGACACTTAACTGATGGAGCCACCCAGTTACCCCTGAACTTCTAAATTTTTACAATATAAATTAACCTAATAAAAAATGTATTTATTTATTTTAATCCTTAAGGTAGTGGCAAAACTAATAAACTTACACTTTTAACTTTTGCCAAACATTCCTAATATAAAATCTTTGATATGATAAACTGTTCAAATTTTTAGTCTAAAATACACTTGAAAAAGCACTTTTTGTATATGAGGAAAGAAACTCGAAATGTTCGGCAAAACCATAAAATTGATAATGGACCACTAATCGATAAATTTTAACTTATTCCTATGTGAATAAGGATATTTGACATAATGTAAAGACAATAATCTCTGGCTCTGCATTAGTGATTTAGAACATTCTTGGTTTAGGTTCACATCTGTCTTATGTCCACTAGATACAATGATGCATTTTATGTTAGACTTTTAATATATTTGTTATATTTCAGTGACATTCTTTGACCCTGGTATACCTGAATCTGGGGAAAATAAGCACTGTTATATACCATTTGCCCATATTTTTCCATTTGCTTTAAGTTTTTATATTATTTCCATACTTTCCCCCTGAGGGCTTTAGCGAGACTAGAGCCTATTTGATAAAAACCTTATATATTCTTATAGGTAATATGAGACTCTGTATGAGATAGCTTGATTTAATCAAAATAATTCTAAAATCTTTCTTATTTCTAAAACAAAATATAACTTTCAATCATCTCCAAACAGCCAGATCAAAATATCAGAAATGACTACATAATGTGATCCTTCTGCTTTAGGATTTTTTAAAATCTTATCTGTGGAAAATGGAAAATTTAACCAATTATATTTATTTTTAAAATATATTTTTAAAAGATTTTATTTATTTACTTGAGAGAGAGTGAGAGAGAGAGAGCATGAGAGGGGAGAATGTCAGAGGGAGAAGCAGACTACCTGCTGAGCAAGGAGCCTGATGGGAGACTTGATCCTTGGACTCCAGGATCATGACCTGAGTTGAAGGCAGTCACTTAACCAACTGAGTCACCTAGGTGCCCTAACCAATTATATTTATTTCTATAAACTGATCATTTTTATTTTACCTATTTAATTTACATATGTCCTCTAAGATTTTTTTTAGTCAAACATAATATAGAAGTGGTTATTTTGATAATCAAAACTAGAATAGCTACTTTTCAAAATGGTGTCTAGTTATCTTGTAAAATGCTGAATCAGAAGATTATAGATCAGGGATCTTTAAAGAATATTTATTCTAATAACTAGTTAGACAATTTTAAAACAAATCGTTTGATAACTGCATGTAAATTACTGTAAAAATGTACAAAGATCAGATTTTTTTGACACTTAGAAATAAATCTAAATTTGATGATTGAGGAAATATCTGCCCCAAAATGTAGAGGGTATACAGCATTTTTATATCTCTGCAAAACGTTATAATACATTTCATGCGGAAAGTTAGATTTGGAAAGTCACAGTAGTAAAGACTATATATTATGCTAAGGATCTTGACCTCAATGTAAATCGATTTTTCATTTAGATTATACAGCTACAAACAGTGTATGCCTATAAAATCATGTTACGAAACTAACAAAATAAAACCTCTTGAAAAGATGTGATTGGTGCTGTGAATCTATTATCTTCACTGTATTTTATCTTGAAACATCAAAATAATTTTAGAAAAAGACCTACTGGTTCACCTCGAGGCCCAGGTGGTCCCAATAATGTGCTATCTTCTCCTGGATAACCCTGTAATGAAGATAATGATTTATAAACAAAACCAAATTAATAAAATCACCTTTGAAATATGCAGGCTATCATTGTCTAATATGTTATGAAATATAAAATCTTTATCTATTTAAATGGAAATCTTTTACCTACAAAACTTAGCATAGGCTATTTTATACAGTTGTGATTCCTATAGGTCCTAAGAACAGTCAATCTGCTTTAATTACATAAAAAGCAGTTTAGGAATTTGCTCAAAGTTTCAGATTTCCAATGATATTGTAAGTCAACAGGAGTACTATTGTAGTTATTCTTAATCCATAAAAAATTTAAGTGTACATGTACTAGTTAGTCATTTAATCTGTAGTCTCACAGTTTCTTTTGATAAGTAATTAATTTTACTTCACCAAGCTTTACAGATTGCAAAGTGCTTTAACATATATTATTTCATGAATATCTTGAAACAACCAACTGAAGAAATTTAATGACGTCTACATTTTTGTCCTTTATTATTTATCTTCTAGAATTTGCAAAACTTCCCAGGTTGAAAAGTGTTTCTTTCATTCCTTGAAAACGTTTCCATGCATATTTTCAGAAAGAACACAAAAATTTAATATTTAATTCTAGGATTGAAAAGTCAATATATACACATACCTTTTCTCCTTTAGGTCCTGGCAAGCCAGAAAGTCCTGGTTGACCCTGATGGCCCTAACAAAAGGACAAGTAAGCAGACATTCTCCACATCATTTGTGCATGTTCTACCTAACACCACCAAGGCCATGCTATTAGATATTGCAATATTCTGAAAAAAAAAACAAGATTCACTTTCTAGGGGGCTGAGGCTTAAATATATTAGAAAGGTTTATCAGTGAGATTTCATTTTAATTGGCATAATCGGGATGACATCTTTATATAACCATTTTCATGTAATACACACATTTTAATTTCCAATTAGAAATGATTACCCTATATCCTGGAATTCCTGGTTCTCCATCAGGTCCCATCAATCCTAAAGGCCCCTAAAAAACAAAGTAAATATTAGAGAGAAAACAAACAACTGTTTCAACCATTAAACTTACACTCTTATTATTTGTTTGTTTATTGATTTATTTACTTAGTACTCCTACTACTTAAAATTTAGATTTTTTGAGGTATAATATTTTATTTAGTATGAAATGGGAAAACAAAAAATAGCATTCTTTTATTTTTCTTCTGAACCACAAAATTCCCACTAAAAAAATGTCCCTGTAGTTTACTTCTGATATGAATATTCTTAATCATATTAAGAAAAATATTTTCAGTTATTAGAATCCAGTAGGTTTCTAGTAAGTTCTTGGAAATGTAGTTTGTACCTGTCAAGGTTTATGGTAGATGTGCATCATTGAATATTAGAATATAGCCTGATAGTTTTTGGTATTATTATGATGGGATCAAGGAAAACATATTCATTGATAGTTTCAGATGCTTTGATGAACAAAGTTTCAGCTCTGGTCAAACTTGTTAAAATAGAAGTGAGTGACAACTTATGTGCAATAATCATCCCATTACTGTTTTCCTTATCAATATTTTGCAGATGAGGATACTATATAAATTAAAGACTAATTAGTAAATGCCATAAAATACTGAAAATGTGACTCAGACAACTGAAAAGAACAAAAATAATAATCCTAAAAATGTCTTACGCTTCATACTATTAAAAAGTTTCCACACCAACTCTCCTATTTGTGTTTGAAATTAAACAGGAGATGAGAAAATTAAGGAACAGAATAGGGATATCCCTAACCAAATATCAGACGACCAGAAGTTCTAAATATGATTATATAACCAAAGAACCATGAGAACCACCTAGCATTAAAGTGGATATAAAGTAAAAATATTAAAGTAAATGGATATCTTAAACAGCATCTATAAGAAGATATAATGGAAAAAAGGACTGCATTATAAATCATAAAGTCCATAAGAAATGAACAAAAAACCTAATGAGATAGAGGTAATAACAGAATGAAGGAAATAACAAAACTTTATTAAAGCATATGTAAGAAGATATAAGTAAATGGAAAGACATATAGTGCTTCTCTACTGAAAGATTCAATATTAAAGGAACTTGAAGAGCTGAGTTTAAAGTTCAAATGGAAGAGAGAATTATAGGAAGAGCCGAACTTTTTAGAAAAATGAATTACGGAGTACTTGCCCTGAGAGATCTCAAAAAATACTGTAATAGTATAGTAATTTAAATGGTGTGGTATTGGACCTAAGAACAGACTAACAGATGGACAGAGGAAAACAGAGAGAATGAAAACAGGCCAATAAATATTTGAGAGTTTAGTTTACGGTAAGGGTAGTATTTCAGAAAAGGGGGAAATAGATTGTTCATTAAATGATTTTGAGACAACTGGATATCAAGTTGGAAAAGAGAAAATCAGTTCTTTACAACTTATTTCATAGCAAAGAAATAAACTTCATATAGGTTAGGGGTTAAAAATAAAGCCATAAAAGTATTTAAAAAAGGATATGGAAGAGTATTTTTATATAATTTAGGTAGGAAAGGGATTTCTTATGAAGAAATAAAACCTCAACTGTAAGGTAAAAAACTGACAAATTTGATTATGTAATTAACCTTCTGTCCAGCAAAAGATATCACAAACAATATTAAAAGATAAATGACAGAAAGGGAAATATATTTGTAATATATCTCATAATACATTTAACAAAATATATTATCTAAAATACATAAGGCATTATTGCAGGTCAATAAGAAAAAAACAACCTGATATAAATCATGTAAAGTGCACATGAAAAGGCAATTTCTAGAAAAAAAATACAAATTACTTAACTGCAATCAGGGAAATGTAAATAGAAAGAAATGAGGCACACTTTTTCATTTATCAGACTGTCAAACATCAAAAGGATTAACAGGAAGTACCGGTGGTGGGAAGAGTGACTTTGACAGAACCTCTGGGAAGGTTAAATATGTGTCAACATTTAAAAAGTGAATATTCTTTTTAGACAAAATCCAAAGTAGGAGCCTACTTTGATGGCAAGACTCCAGATTAATTCTGATGTTCATTAAAAATTAATCACATTATATAAAGTTTTTAAATATATAAGCCAAAAACAGAGAAATACTAGTGATTTAAATAAAAGGAAGTAAGAAAGACTTCAAGTAGTATGATGAATATACAAAATGAGCCTGAGACAAACTTTCTCAGAACTTTGTTCGGAGACAACAGATGGATTATGCAATGCTCTCAAGAAGGCCGTGGTAAAAGTCTAGCATTTGTGAAATTTAATGGAGAGCAGGAAATATATATGCATTTTGTATACAAACTTACGAAACAGTAAAAACACTAAACACTAAATCACAAATATTCTGCATCTCTTCTGCTAGGACTTTCTGAACAGGTCCACATATATTAGCACTACAATTTTGCTATTATAGGTTCAGAAGTACCATGCTACCTTTGTTTCCAACACCATATAAAATGCTTGCGAAAGATTAAATATTAGATGTTATAGATATTGATCACAACTGGTTAAAAAAAATCTCCAGATAAGCATTTGGAGTTCAAGCTAATAAAGAAAACTCATTTTTAAATAAACCTACTTTTCAAAGCAATTTGCCAATCCTGACAGTGAAGTTTTATACAGATATTAAATTCTGATTTTTAAGTGTAAAGCATATAAACTTTCTTACTTAGGTTAGGAGTTATAATCTGGTATTTTTAAAACTCCATTTCATATTTTATTTCCATTTTGAGTTTTTTTTTCCCCTTTCCCTTTCCTGTGTCCAGAAACCACTAAGCCATTTAAGTACTGTGGAATGCTTACAATTCTCTGCAGCCCATGGAGGTAGATTATTTTCAATGGAACTATTGCTTTCTCTGTAAAATTAATCAAGGGATGAAACTTTAAGGACATGGATACATTTCTTTTCCATCCACAGTGAACTTAGGTCTGGAAACAAGTCAGATACTAACCACAGCACCTCTAGTTCCTCTGGCACCCTTAGGACCACTTTCCCCCATTTGTCCAGGAGCACCTCTGCTTCCAATTTCTCCTGTGGGCCCTATTTGTCCTTTATCACCCTGTGGATGTCATTAGTAAGAGAGAAAAGTGAGAAAAAACAAATTTTTACTTAGATGAATTAAGTATATCATATACCTGGAATGACACCAGACGACATTCCGTAAGCAAAATTCTGTAAAGAGTAACTTTGTTTTAACTTAATAGTAGTAGAGACCATCACTGACAATAACAAACCATCACTACCTAGGTTATCCTAAAGATATAACTTAAAGTAATTTAAGAGAAAGAACATTTAAAAAACAATTTTGGTACATATGAATCACATCTTCTTTATCCATTCATCTATTGAAGGACATCTTGGCTCTTTCCACTGTTTGGCGATTATCATATGGTTTTACTTACTTGTGGAGAATAAGGAATAACATGGAGAACATTAGGGGAAAGAAAGGAAAAGCAAATTGGGGGAAATTGGAGGGGGAGGTGAACCATGTGAGACTGTGGACTCTGAGAAACAATCGAGCGTTTTGGTGGGGAGGAGGGTGGGGCTTTGGGTGAGCCTGGTGGTGGGTAATGAGGGGGGCACGTATTGCATGGAACACTGGGTGTGGTGCATGGACAATGAATCTTGGAACACTGAAAAAATAAAATAAAATAAAATAAAATAAAATAAAAACAATTTTGGTTAAACACCCAGGGGAGATCTGGTGTTCATGCTGAATTACAAAATAAGTTTTTTATCTTGAAATTTGTTATGTACGAATGTTCTCATGCATGCATGTATTTCTTGTTATCATGAGGAAACACAGGCCCTATGAGAAGCCTGTTTCTATAGACAACTTTGATGCCACAAAGATCTCTTTAACGCGAAGTTTCCAGTGTACGGTTCTATATATTCAGAATCATCATTCACAGGTTTGGAGTCTGTCTTTAAAATCCATAATTTTTTTAATCAATAATATTTTTTATATAATTTTGCATCCTTTTAAAAATTAGTTGCTTTCTGTTTTCCATTAAGCTGACTGATCATTCTCTACCACCAAAATACAGCTGCTTTGAAGCAACTTTAAGTACTATAATTCGTTTTCTGAAAGTGGGAACCAACCTGTTCTATTATTGATATTCAAGTAGATAAAAAGAAAAATTAGACTGTGATCACAGTCAGGAAGTTTTTGGTAGTCATAATAATTCCCAGGGGTGCAGGTTATTGAAAGGACTTACACTGTCCTACTCCTAATGTTCATTTTAGATATAACATTATGTATGATGAAAAGAGTCTTCAAATATTGGGGTTATTTTCATAGGCAAGAATAGTTACTAAGTATATAAGAGATGAATCACTGAATTCTACTCCTGAAACTAGTATCACACTATGTTAATTAACTAGATTTAAATAAAAACTGGAAACACTAAAAAAAAAAAAAAGAATGGCTACTAAAATTTACCTCATTCATTTTTTCTTTACCTTTTATTCTCACTTCTACTGTCCCTACCTTATGACAAAGATTGAGTATATATTAGCAGAAATGATGAAATTAGACTTTGGGAACTAGATATGGTATGATTTGAAGCTAAGTATAGTAATATATTTAGAACTGTTGTGGTAGAATTAAGAAAATCATTTCTGTCTCACCAATAGTTGAATAAATTATTGACCCCATACAGAGATAATTTTTTCATTATAACATTCTAGTATCTTATAAATATATCATCTTTTAGTAAAATATAAAAGAAACAAATAAACCACATTCTTGATTCGTGTTTCTTACTCAATATATGGGAAAGCTAAAATCAATCATTACCACAAATGGTATAGTGTTTTCCTTTTCTCTTTTCCTGCCCATAGTCTACTAAATTTTTGGCAAACAGGAGAAGGAAAAGCAAAGATCTTTAGAGAAACTACAAAGTAGGAAATTTGTCTTTAAATAATTAAGGTGAGGGGTACTCCTAAGTAGAGTTAAATATTAATTTATACAAACATGCCTTTTAAGATCAATATATAGTTCTTTATTACTTTATATCTAGTGCAAATAAAAACATCACAGCATCCTATGGAATTTGGGGCACATCAGAAGAAAGATGTGCCAGAAAAAGATGTAAAAAAAAAAAAAAAAGATGTTAAAAAAAAAATAAAAAGATGTTAAAAAAAATTACCTTTTTCCCGGGACGACCTCTTTGTCCTGGAATTCCCACAATTCCTTCAGGTCCCTGGATATTCAACATAAAAAAGAAAATAAACTGTTAAGGAAAGGACTAGATAGGAATGTTTAAATACTTACATCACATAATCACTGAATCGAACACTATGTAAAAATGAGGATTGTTTTCAACAATAAATATTGTGCTTGTGCATTTATTTTTAAAGATTTTATTTATTTGTTTTAGAGAGAGCATGCATGCACGAGTCAGGGGGGGCAAGAGAGCTAGGGAAAGAATCTCAAGCAGATTCTGCACCAAATGCCTAGCCCCACATGGGTTCCATCTCTCAACCCTGGGATCATGCCCTGAGCCAAAACCTAGAGTCTGAGGCTCAACCAAATGAGACACCCAGGCGCCGTGTGTAATCATTTAAAAATAGGTCACAATGATTTAGAGGTCTAGCTGTTACTAGTGAGTAAAATTTACATATACAAACTAGCCAAGATAGATAAAATTAAACTGTTCTTTATTATAGGAAGAAAATTACTTGGTTTCAGTGTAACTATTTTAATTGGTGAGACTATAATTAAAGTAAACCCCGGGCATCCATTTTAGCAGTTCTATGAGCTGCTGTGGGTTCAATATCTTATTGAATATACAGGATTATAAAATATATCTAAAAATGGTCAAGAAGACTCTCAAAATCTTATTGGAGTAGGTTAGGAGATTTTCTTTGATCTGTGGAAAAAAGGAAAGAGGGAAATACATGGAGAAAAAGGAGGTAGTCACATTAAACTGTTTAAAACAATATTTTCATTTCAATCAGTATTTTATTTAGACAAACACAGAAGTTTTTAATATATATTTTTTCAAGTAAAAATTGGCTAAAATACTTTAGATGTCATGTGAATTTGCAGGTCAACAATAATTAGGCTTAAATGAGATCCACAGTAAACCAGAGGATACAAGTTCTAAAATGGCTAATAATTAATCATGGCACTCCTTGCATTAGCTGGAAATGAAAATGGAAATCTCAAATTTGTGTCCCAAAGCTTGGCAAACTGCAAAAATGATGTAGACAAGAAATAAATTGTGGTTTACCACTGTGCTATGTAGGCTCTTGATAAATATTTGTTAAACGAATAAACAGATACCTAAGGAAATGACGCATGCCCTCTACTCCTGAGCAAATGCTCTTCTAGCCTCATGAAGTCACTGAATTTAGAAGCCAAAATGGTTAAGTTCTATTGCTGTAGTTCTAGCTGCATCCAGAGGTTGAAATGATAGTTGCACTAACCCGCGATTTCTTTGTGGTTAATGTGGAGTTTTAAAAGGAGGCAGATTAACTTTCATTAGAGATTAATGGTGTGAACTTTTAAAAGTCAGACTGCTCGTTTTATATTCTGGCTCTGTCACCTTACTGCAATACGACCATAAGTAGATTATTTAACTTCTAAAGGCCCCAGTTTCCCATTAGATAAAAGAGGTAAAATAATACCTTTCAGAAGGTTACTAATATTAAATGAGATAATGCATGTACTGCTTATTAGAAAGAATTGGACTTACACTGAAGAGCTTAACTCAGTTATCACTACTACTGTTGCTTTTTTCAAGCGTATTATGTAATATTCAAATATATATAAAAATATTAGAAGGTACAAAAAATACCCTTGTACCCAGCACCTACTTGAAGAAAAAGAAGCAATATACATATGTACATATTTGAAGTCCCTTTACACATACCTTTCCAAATATGTCACCCTCTCTCTTTACTCAGGTGCAAGCATTGCCCTCAATTTGTTTATCATTCCCATGCATTTCTTTATACTTTCACTCCATTTGCAACATATGGTTATTTTGCATCTTTTCAAACTTTAAATAAGCGTACTTTATGTATTCTTTTGAAACTTTGTAAACACACATTTTGTTTTTGAAATCAATTGGTCTTTAATCCATTCATTCTCTGGTTTTAATTCTACAGGATTCCATTTTAATACACATTTTGTTTTTGATATCAATCGGTCTTTAATCCATTCATTTTCTGGTTTTAATTCTATAGGATTCCATTTTCTTACCAAATCATAACTTATTTAAACCCTTCCCTACTGATGAATTTTTGGTGTGGGTTTTTCTTCTTTTATGGATAATGCAATAAATACCTTGTGCATCTCTCTATGTGCCATGTCAAAGTTTTGTTCTGTTTTTTAGGGTATAACTCTTGAAGTTAAGTTGCTGAGTTATAGAATATACACATCTTCAAGTAGACAAGATATTGTCAAATTGTTCTCCAAAGTAGTTTTGCCAATTTACATTTCCACAGCAATGTTTGAGTCTAATTACTCCAAATCTTCTGTAATGCTTGGTACTGTCAGACTTAAAATATATCCATCTCACTGTGGAAAATGATAAATTGTTTGTGTCTTCAATTTGAATATTTCTGATTACTAAGGAGGAATGATTATCTATTCATACCATTATCTGACATCTATATGTGAATCTCTGGCTCTTATCTTCTGCCCAATATTCTCCTGAGCTATTCTTACTGAGTTGTACATAAAAGTTTTTACACATACTCCTGATACTTGTATTTTGCTCATTCTATGTAATACAGATCTCTTCTCTCAGCCTGTAGCTTACTTTCTCATTTTGTTGAACATAACTTTTGATTAATACAAACTTGCAGTTTTAATGTAGTCATATTCATCAATACTTTCTTATTTCTTTCAGTGTTCAGGAGATCCTTCTCCTCTCCCTTCAGGAGATCATGAAATAATCTCATAAATGTTCTCATATTTAACATTTTGATGTTCATAGTTAGGTCTTCAATTGGAATTTCATTCTTTTATGTGTTTGCACACTGGTGTGAAGGAGCTGTTTTATATTGTTTTCCATTTGGATAACCAATTGTACCAGTACCGTTTATTGAATATTTCATCCTTTCCTTAGTGATCTTCCATCTATAATCAATTTCTCAAACTTCAAGATTCAAAATATACTGAGATCTGAGTCTAGGTTATCTTCTATTTCCACTGGTCTCCTCTTTGTCTTCCTGTGAATGAGTGTGACACTGACTAAATTACTCTAGCTTTAATAGTAAGTTATGATATCAGGTAGGGCAAGTTCTCCGTTCCACACACCACTGTTCTCCCACCTCCTGCAACTTGTTCTTGAAAACTGTTTTGATATCAGTCCTTTGTTCTTCCACATTCCTTTTAAAATCACTTTTCATCAATCAAATCCTACAAAAAATTCTTATGGGATTTTGACTAAAACCATATTGGATTTATAGACTAATAGGGGAGAGTTGATAATTTTTTTATATTGAGTACACCTATCTATGAATATAAAATATCTCTCCATTTATTTAGGTCTTTGTTAATAAAAATTTTTTTCAAGAAAACTTTGCAAATCTTTTGTTAGATTTTTTAAAAATTTAATTTTTTTTCAGTGTTCCAAAATTCATTGCTTATGCACCACACCTAGTGCTCCATGCAATATGTGCTCTCCATAATACCCACCACCAGGTTCACCCAACCCCCTACCCTCATCCCCTCCAAAACCCTCAGTCTTTTGTTAAATTTATTCCTAGGGGCTAATTTGGCTGTTGGTTGTATTATAAATAGTATTTTTATTTATTTATTTATTTATTTATTTTTGTAATTTTATTTTTCAGTGTTTCAAGATTCATTGTTTATGCACCACACCCAGTGCTCCATGCAATACATGCCCTCCTTAATACCCACCACCAGGCTCAACCAACCCCCCACTCCCTCCCCTCCAAAACCCTCAGTTTGTTTCTCAGAGGCCACAGTCTCTCCTGGTTCGTCTCCCCTTCCGATTTCCCCCAATTCCCTTTTTCTTTCCTTCTTCTAATGTCCTCCATGTTATTCCTTATGTTCTGCAAATAGTGAAATCATATGATAATTGACTCTCTCTGCTTGACTTATTTCACTCAGCATCATCTCTTCCAGTCCCGTCCACGTTGATACAAAAGTTGGGTATTCATCCTTTCTGACGGGGGCATAATACTCCATTTTATATATGGACCATATCTTCTTTATCCATTTGTTTGTTGAAGGGCATCTTGGCTCTTTCCATAGTTTGGCAATTATGGACATTGGGGTACAGATGACCCTTCTTTTTACTACCTCTGTATCTTTGGGGTAAATACCCAGCAGTGCAATTGCAGGGTCATAGGGTAGCTCTATTTTTTAATTTCTTAAGGAATCTCCACACTATTTTCCAATAATAGTATTTTTTAAAGTTTTCTAACTGTTGCTGGGGAAGAGGAATGGAATCTATATCTGTGTATATTCTTATATTTAACATCTTGCTAAAATCTCACTAATTCTAATAATTTATCTGTAGATTATTTCTCTTATTTTACTATACTGGCTGGGTCTCTGAGTAAATGTTGAATAGAAATACTGAACAGTGGTGATCTTTGCTCATATCTTTGAAGTTTCACCATTTCATATGATAGTCAACATGGATATTAAATTTTTATTAAACTTTTTGTTTCATCTATTGAGATTATATTTTTTCTTTCTTTAATTTGTAGTTATGTGACTTAAAGTTACAATTCTTAAAAATGTTAGGCTTTTGTTGCAATACTTGTATGAGAGGGAATTCATAAGTCCTATTATTATATCAACATTCCATAACTGCATTGAACTCAAATACCCAGGTGTCAGCTGATACTACTGTGGCAATGCTATCTGCCAACGAACAAAGCAGTTTAAACATCATTGTGTTTATATATTTAAATATTAATAACAATTTGTAGATAATGTAAAAATGTGACAAATTTAAGTCTCACAAATGTGTATAATTGGGAAATTTATTACTCTGCAAGATGGCTTGCACATTCTTCAAACTTCCATTCTCACCTCATTTTCAAGTTAATTACCTTGCCTCGTACTGCACTGAGACCAGTAACAATCAAGAAAGAGAAATCTCTTCCCAACACCCAATGTACCGACATACCTCCTTGTGTATGCACATATTGTTTCACTTCTCTGATGAAGGAAGAAGTTTCCCTGTTTCTCACCTGAGGCCAGCTTCTCACT